GGGAAGTTTGCACCCACTAACTTTCCCTTTTTGAGGTAGACTCAGACTCCGTCCGTGGTTTAGCAAGCAGTTATGATCACAGTCGTACTTCGAACACATTCTTTTGATTTTCAGTTCTGTTATAGTTTGTTGATTTCACACCCTGTAGTTTCAATAAGTTACTACTTGTTGGATAGACTTAGTGACGATAAAGTTTATCAAAGTTTGGTTATCGGACTCTAACGCTTGACTTCCTGAATCCTTCTCGGTTCAGACGTTCGCTAGGGTTAATTACAGAATGAGAATATATACACTTTATGGAATTTCTCGTTTTGAATTTTTTTGCAGTGATAACAGAGTTCAATAAATGTGAAATCTATTAGTTTTGTGATAATAAATATTTTAATATATCTAACTTATTTATTGAACGATGAATTTTTTTTAAATCATTAAATTAGTGTTTAGTAGCACTGAAATAAATGAATTTTCTTCAATTATGAAGACGTCAGAAATTTTTTGTTGTAAAGAAAAATTTAAAATCTTTTACCATTCATTTATTTCAGCAAATTTAAACAAAAAAAAGACTTTATTACATATTTTACTGAATAATTTTTAAAAAGTTGTAAATTTCGGATAAAAGTGTGTACAAATAGATTGTAATTATTTTTATGTTAATGCAGATTAGTTAATTTTAATTACTCATTAGTGGAGTAAGCTAATATAAAAATGTAACTGAACTGATCGTTTTATTTTGGAGTAATAAAATTAAATTTCCCAAATATTCTGTTGTTTTCCATTTACAAAATAGTAGTTCAATATATTAAGTGTTCATTACACTATTATTTATTACTTTGCTTCGTTATTTTCAATATTCGGATACAATATTTGAAGACAATGGAAAAATTATCACAGTAATAAATTAAAAGAAAACCATTTTAATTTTAAAATAATGTTTTTCTATCTAAAAATGATTTAATAATTATTTTTTTTATAAATCGTTACCCAAACACATACTATGAAAAATTAGTTATTTAGATTAGAAAGGTTCTGTAAGTACTAATGGTTGATCAACACATCTTTTTAAATGCAAAACAAACCATTATTGAAATAATTCCTTTATCTCAAATCTAATTGAAAGAAGTCGCCGGAGTTATCTGTTGTTTTATAGCTGTGATTCAAAATACAAATTCGCAATAATACTCAATCTGACGCTGTAATCGTCAGGGTTATATAAACCGTGTTGGTGGTCGTTTCTGAATGCCCTTGCAAACTGGTTTCCCGTCGCTTCACACGATTATGTTAATCGCAGATGTGCATGTTCGTATATTCGACCGATCACTGGCACGTGCCAAATAAATATATATTCAAGTTTTTTCCAAAAATATATTTATTTATATTTTATTCATAAATAAATTTCCAACTCATTTCAAAGAAACATTACTAGATGACTTTTGTATTTTTAGTAAAAGTTACTTCGTATGAAATACAAAGTAACACATTTATATACTTACTTCAAAGCTTCTTTTAAGTGGAATCTTGGTAGTACTTAATAGAATCATAAGTTGCAATTTTCAGCTTGATGATTATAGTCATTTATTTCTTGGTAGGAAGCTGTTATTTCGTGGAAAGTAAAGATCAAAAATACGTGAAGTTATGTGAAATAGTTGAGGAGGAAAAAATCAATATCTTTATCATAAACTGTAGATAATAAATATTGAATTTTGAGTGCATATGCTGCACTTTAATACATTCAACAGTTTGCATCGGTTAGGAAGATAGTCATTTGTTTTACGGCGTGTTAGAATCATAACTGTTTCACACAGTGCCAACAGCAGTAGCAAGTTTATTGCCCCATAACTGTCAAATTTAAGAGTCTTTTATGATCCAATAAAATTTAGAGAACGAGCTACTCATGATATGCTGTTTATTTTATTGGAAATCTCACGCACTGACTACACCAGAGATTTTTAAAGTTAATTCAATTAAAGTGTGGTACATGAAAGTGTTGTTATGCAAAACTATGCAAATCATCATAAACTCTAACTTGAAAAAATATTTTTTTTTCCATTCAAAACATTTTTTCTGTTTTAAACAAAAAAACAAAATTGAATATTTATTTTTTTGCAGAACTGGTCATTAATTAAAAATTATTTGCCAATTTTTGTTTCAAAAAATGAATTCGTTACATTTATGTGAACAAAAAGTTGATTGCTTGTAACATCATCTAGATTTATTCATGATAACAAAATGATATATTCTTAAAGCTCTCTCTTATCCAATAGTATAATCTACATGAGCATTTAATATGTATATTCTTAACAGTGTTATGAATAATAAGATGACTATTACTAGAAACGATTACAATCTTAATTATAAAAGAAGATAAGTTGACAAGATAAAAAAAAAAAGGATTGCATTTGACAGGATTAATTAAAAGTTCCATTGCAGTGCATCCGGGAAATCAAAAGATAAGTAATTAAGAGCAGAATTGTAAAGGGTGTGGCATTTCCGAAATCAAATTCTCGATGAAATGAAGAGCTGAGTTTGAAGCCATTTTGATAAATAGAGGCCATCGTAGAATCGTGACGTCATTGTTCCATATCTAACGATGGCGTCACATAACGCTCCACCCTCTTTTCAATCACCTTTGCCCCGAACCCACCCAGCTGTCAAGCCTTGCTCCACCCCGTTTTTTCCAATCGTATTTCTGCATCGTCATATCACTTACGCCATCTCTGGGAATCTTATTGCACTGCTTAATCTTTAAGTGATCATAAAAGTAGCCGATTTCTTCAAAGGATGCCGCCACTCGTTAAAGTTTAAATCCTATTTTATTCCTTATGAAATTGACCCAGTAAAAACATTTATTTCACTTCATAGATCCAAGTAATTACGCGGTAGTGTCTAAGATCGTTTTTCATTTTTTCTTAGAACGTAATTTGTTCAAACCTATTACGAAAGAAAATCAAAGCAAGTCTTTTTGCTTCAGATTGAAGATAAACAATAATACACAGCTCAATTATTTTAACAGACAAACATGCCTATAGATAAACATTAAAGCTAAAAAAATAAAGACAAGTAGCAAATTATTTGAATACGAAAGCAATTTTTATTTCAATCATTAAACACTTTCGAAGATAACTAGGTTTTGTTAATTTTTTATAATTTTAGTAATTTCTTCGTCTTTTGGAGTATGTCTAGCATTAATCCATTGTCGATAAAAAATTCTTGTGTCCAGCAGTTAAAAACAATTCCTTTTGTTAATCAAAAAAAAAAAAAAAATTGTTTTTTATTTTTATTTATTGACTAGAAAAAATAGATGTTCTTCTGAATAAATTGATTGCAATTTTTCTCTTACCAGTCAAATCTAAAAAAAAGTCTGTTTAGTAATTTGACCCGTAATTATAGCACAGATTCATTTACATAAAAAATGAGTGGGTAAGATCACAGTATTCGATTAGAAAAAATGATAAAAAGGTTAAGCTTATAGTCTATAACTACTACGAACGAGAGAAGCAAGTTAAATAGTAGTAGTAGTAGTAAAAGTGTTAGTGGTAGTAGTATTGAAGATAGGTAGGGAGGGTGAGAAAATTTATATGGAGGGATACGGAGCGCATAGAATCGCTATCGGAGGCCATTCATCAATCTGGAGAATCAATACGCTGGAATTAATGAAAGCGCCGCGTGAACAGCGAGCTAGTGGCCGGAATGTTAATCGCGATCGTCCCGTGTCCAACCCGTACCACATTCGCGTATACCGCCAACTCCCAAGGGTCGATTACCAACCCCTGGAATCACATTCAGCGCTGCTGTTGATGCCACAAAAGCACTTGCAACAATGTCACTCGTATATTCTATTCAATTCCATACACACGTCAACAAGAACTGAAGTCTACCTATTTCTAGATATATGCACATATTTTGTGGACGCCGATGAACTATTTCAGCCTATGAATTTGTAACTGTTGAAAAGATATTCTTCAAAAGATCTATTATAATATTACTTTTCCATTTGCTAATGGAATATATGACCACATACAGAACTTTATCATTATTAAACATGAAATACGACGACACTAATTTAAATTTATTTCCATTATTAATATCCTAAATTTGACAGAGAAACGTTTGATGACAGTCGGTAGAGCAGGTTAACTTTGCATCAACAGATCTTATTGCCGGACTTACAGGTCTTTTTCAGTACGGAGTTCACTAACTCGCCTGTGTGGGGAGTCCCTTCTCAAAACCCATCAACTATTTATTTAAATTGTTTTCTTTTTCAAAATAATTCATAATTTTTTTTTTATTACCCTTAAATACGCAATTTATTAACTTTTATTATGACTGCTGAAGTTAATAATAATGTTCAATAAAATGTAGTGTTTAAATAGATTGACAAGATATTAAAATAGAACTTAAATATATGATTATATAATAATATAACTCAATAATATGATTAATTATAAACATTAATTAAGAACTAATTTATGCTCGTGTTTGTTTTGTGAATTAATGCTGAACTGGTTTTAAAAAGTCGTTGAGTTGACTAAAGTTATTAAAATTAATATTATTGATGATCACGTCAGATTAAAAGGTTTATAAAAAATTGCAATTAATTTTCCAGAAGATAAATAGTATTTTAGTTTTATTTTGATATGAAAAATTAGAGGGCAATGTAGCAAGTTTTTACAGCATCATTACGACGATGATGACACTAATAGGTTGGTAATTTTTTTCCGAATTTAACGAACATACGTTCCCTCCCACAAATGGCGAGTTATACCATGCAAGACGTAAATGTCTGGGTGATGGTCGTCACCGTGACGAGCACGTGTGTACCTCGCCGTCTGTCACTTAGACCAAGATCTTAGACTTGTAAGTTTCTCTCAGAGGACATGTTATTGCGCCATTAGTATTATTTTGCGTCTTAAAACTCTGTAATTATGTTACCAACTATTAATATACAGTAAGTCTTATCTAAATGACTAAATAATTTATACAAGTTTATTTTTCTGTTCCAGGTGTGGCGTAGTATCGTCAGCGAGTTGGTCGGAAGATCAGAAAATATTATTTATTGCAGTGACACAACATTTTGAACAAGACCACCGTCCAAACGCAATAGACGACAAACTTTAATAAGTGACGTCTTTCTTAAGTAAAAATAATAATAATTAAACAAAAATTGCGCTCTCCCCCTGTTTGATAACATAAGCTTCTAAAGTGCTTCAGCTATTTCAAGTTATAATCTAGTGTGGTAATAATTGTCACGACCAAATGAGCCCAGTGTATGTAGTGTGATAAGCAGTGAAAATTTATTTCCATGTGTAAATTATCTACTTTAAAAGTGAGTTTAAATGAAAGAGAAAATAGTGAAAGATAAGTGATATCAATGATCTTACACAAGTACAAATAAAATTTATTTCTAATCTTTAAAATAAGCGGAATAAGCCGTGATCAAGTTCAGTGTATATAAATCTTGTGTCAATAAGTGTATCAATTAAAGTAAGTGACAAAGTGTGGGAATCGGTAATAGTACAATAGCATGAGTTCTTACTTCGCGAATTCATATATCCCAGACCTGCGCAATGGCGGGGTGGAACATCCCCATCAGCATCAGCAGCATTATGGTGCTGCCGTTCAAGTACCTCAACAAGGTCAGAGCGTGCAGCAACCACAACAGGCTGCAGATCCATGCGATCCAACAATGCTCAGGCAAGGAGTTCCAGCTCATCACTATGGTGCTGCAGGAACTCAACAAGGCATACCTTACCCAAGGTTTCCACCTTACGACAGGATGGATATACGAAATGCTGCTTATTATCAGCAGCAACAAGACCACACAACCCTCGATGGAATGGCGGGCTACCGGTCATCATCACCAGGAACGGGAATGGCACACATGGGTCACACACCCACACCAAATGGCCACCCATCTACCCCAATCGTTTATGCTAGCTGTAAGCTCCAAGCAGCGGCAGTCGATCACCAAGGTAGTGTCCTCGATGGCCCAGATAGTCCGCCACTCGTGGAGACCCAGATGCATCATCAAATGCATGCTCAGCATCCCCATATGCAACAACAGTCTCAACATCAGCAACAACAAACATCTCAGCACCAACATCTTCAGGCACAACAGCAGCATATGATGTACCAACAGCAACAGCAGCAACAACCAAATAGTCAATCACAACCTGGTAGTTTACACGCTCAACAGCAAGCACAGGCGCAACAACATCAAGGTGTTGTTGCGTCTCCACTAGGACAACAACAACAGTCTGCACCTCAGGGTGCATCTAGTGCGAACCTACCTAGCCCACTTTATCCCTGGATGAGGAGTCAGTTCGGTAAGTTTCGCTATGTTTCTTATTCATTTCAGACATAACAAATATAAATGCATTGAAAAGAGAACAAGTTAGAGAAATGAAGAAATTTCATTTTAAAATCATTTCAAGCAATTAAAAAAAATTATTCGAATTAAAACATGGTTTTTTAAATATTATATAACGACAGAGTATTAGTTGGGAATATGCCTGGAAGTAATATCATGATGTATAAAAAACAAAATCCTTTTTTTTTTTTTTGTAAGAAGTGAAATCATGCAGGATAATTTATGTACAAGCTTGAAAGATCCGGTTAGGTATAGTTTGTAACAATTTTCCACCAAGAAGACCGAATGATGAATCTGAAATGTGTGCATAATTTGATGGCAATATTTCTTCTGGTTGTCATATCAAATAAATTTGCATATTCAAAAAATAACTGCACATGAAGAATATCACTTCCAGTAGCAACTTGAAGTAATCTTCAAGTACTGAAAAATTATAATCACAAGCTACATCATCTATGCTATTATTTTTTTTCTTGTATATTAAAAAAATTCTAACTTTGAATTTCCATCTTGAAGTGATCCATCTTCGTTGATTCCTGATTTAAATTATTATTCAAATGACTTACTAGATTTTTTAATTCTTCTCCATGCTTCAGTGGTTTCCACGTGTTGCTAAAAATTTATCTAGGAACCTTAGTTAACTGCTCTTGTCACGTAGCTCATGTAGGGGTCATCAGGTTTTTTATATTTTTGCAACATCGAGAACTAAACCAGATTTGAACGGTTGCAAATAAGAGTGAGCTAAATCTGTTAAGTTCTCGTGAAGTATTTGAATTATTTATTATCCTGGCCTCTGGCCTGGTAGTTTCACTACACATTTATACACTAGCATACAAACTGGACTTATAAAACTCGGGTACTCCATTTATAGCTCAACGTGTTGACCGCGGTTCGTGACAGTGTCATCAACTACACTAACTTTTCATCACTGACATTGTATCGCATGTGTATTTACAGCTTGTACTCTGACTTGTACCAAGGAATTTTTTTTGTTACCAGCTTCTGAGTATTATTCTTAAAATTAGGACCTACTTATAATAGGTCCAGTTTTTTTTTCGTAATGCCATGATTAAATGACTGAATTTCTTTGCACAGTTCTCTTTTTATTTTCGTTATTTTCGCATAATAACCAACAATAAAACGAGTTCTTAGAATTTTGGTTTCATAATTTTACCGTGGAATTTTTTATCTAAATAAAACATATTTGTAGATCAATTTTAGAGTGGTGTTGAGCATAGAAAGATTACCTAAATATTTTTAAGAAATAACCAATTTATTACAATTAATAACATCAAATTTTTATTTAGTGTTAATCATTTATTTAGGGTGAATTATTCCTGCTTTCGATGGTTGAGCTTTTATTATTTGCAAACAAAAGTTGACAAATGTTGGAGATGCTTTAAATTTTCCACCACCTTTTCAAGCCTTTCTATGCTGATTTGAGAGTTGATTGCAATGCCCATGTAACCCGTTGACGATTTATGAAGGCTCTAACAAAGTAATAATAGTCAGGTCGTAATTTACACCGTTGAGTATTTTGGTCTCTTGGACCAAGAATATTAGTTAAGATAGGTAACGGCAGGTTGTAGCCCCCTACTGATTTCACTCCTATTCCATCAGCCTTTTGGCTTCTATATTGGTCGAACCGTAAGAAATATTGCTTTATATATCGCTAACCTTCAGTAAGACCTTCGACATCTTTATGTGTTAAAATTTAATATGTTTCTCTTTTCTTCCAGTCTACTTAGCAAGCTGACAATTTTCTGGTTCAGTTTAGTTTTAGTTTTGGTTGTGACTCAATCAGTTGTCTTCAGAAATCCATTTTTCATTTAGTAGTGTGATGATTAATTATTTCTTCTGATGATAACAACTTTATAAGTTTGATTTAACTCATCGTATACCATCTCTCGGTTGTATTTTGAAACAAGCGATACCAGTATGTGGTGGTGTTGCGATTGGCCGATAACCATTTCGCATATAAAGCTGTTGCGAATACACCGAAGTCTGGTGCTTCATTCGCGAATGCAAGTGTGAAGAGTGTTTCTGAAGAAGAGATTGTAAGTTTACATGTTACATACACATATGAGCAAAGAACGAGCTCTTTCACCTTGTCCATAGATGTCGGTAGAAGTCTGTTTAACAAATTTGGTAGGGCTACAAATGAATTAGTATTTTTTAGTATAATAAATGATTTGTTCAGAACAAAGATTAATAATAAATAAACAAATAAGCAGTTGAAAGTCAGCTAATGATTTTTTCGTATCAAACAATAGAACTTGCTTTTAAATTAATTAATACTTGTCTTTGATATGTAACAGAATAATTTAAAAAAGTATATTCTATTAATTTAAATATTTTTCTATTAAAAGGAGAATAATTTAATTTTCATTTGCCTTCAATAGAGAGATAATAATGATTAATATTGGTAAAAATACGCTAATCTTTTTGAAATAATTAATTAATTTTGTATTACTTCTTATTAAGTGTTTTAAAAGACAGGAATATTTATAATAACTTAAATAATTTATCAAATTATTAATTTAAAAAATGTAAGTAAAATAATTAATATTAATAAGATTCATTATTATTGACAAATATATATATATATACAATGTTGCAAAAAACTCGGAGTAATTTAGCATGCTGATAACAGATCTGAAGATTAATTACCGGGACGAACAAAAATGTTATGAATCAAGCCTGTAGGGAATAGTCATGAAAGAAATGCCCGCGACTTAATGAATAGCCTTTTATTTTATGAGGTACTAATCTTACGTTCCATATAAACTATTTCATACTCAGTCCCTCCAGCAGCTGTGACCATAAATTAAAGTGCAATTGAATGGCTTATGTGATATATACACCACATACTATCAGCAAGCTAGTGTGGTCGAGTAGTGTCATTGAATCGATTAACTGCCAGTATTGTCTTTACAAAATCAATCTAGGAACAGATTACTGCAATCTAGCACATATTCAATCATGTTGTGATATTGCACGTTCAATAGAGTCAATAGTTTGTGATAATGATATATTTTTTTATTAGATACTACTTATTATTATCAAAGTATTATTTTTTATTTATCAAACATTGACAATTTCCCTGTCAACAATCACAGTTGATGATAAAAAATCTATATTGGTACTTCATTAAGCGAGATAATAATTCAACTTGCATAAACGGAATATTCATTATAAATATTAATGTCCTTCGATCATAACGCGTTCATAAAATATTTCTGCACTCGTGTTTTCCAATCAGTTCGATACCATCATGCATACTAATAGTATTAACATGTCAGTTACACTCGGCGTCATGGCAACAAGATATTTATCTATTAAATTATTTAGAAATATTGAAAGAAAAAAAAAAGGTAACACGAAAAATTAGACATCCAGAGAAAGAGAGATAGAACTAGGAAGAATGAAAAAAATAACAGTTGAGGTAGAGTTTCAATGTTAAAATTGATTTATGTAATTGCAATATACATTGAGTAAGCTTGAGATAATTTTAATCTTTCCTGTATGATGATTTATGCTCTTCCGTTGCAATATTAATAAGTACTTGTATTACATAGTAAAAGCTGTACATATAGACTTGAGGTTTTTTTATTTTATTTTTTATCGATTGAAGGAATCTAAAATCCAACGACTTTTAAACTCTGGTGTATGTGATAAGGAATTATTGTCGATTTTCATAATTTGATTATAGCTATTACTGAAAGAAATGCCTCTTGTGTATAATTTTCCTTGTTTTTAAATTGGGACATTTAAACGATGGAATATGATAAGAGAAAGTTCATAAATTATATTTGATGGATGAAATTTAAATGGAATCCTTGCTGAGGAAATATTTTAAATAATTCTTGCATCAAGTGAATGTTGTTGATAATCAACAAAATTTACTTTTAATAAAAATATTCAATTTAAAGAAAATTATGTATTTGTTGAAAAATATATTTAAACATTAAAAAACAGGGAAACTTTTGAATGATCAATTTTCTAAGATTAAAATATTAATGCATCTTAACTGATTATTATGCAATTCATTACATTCAATTCATTTCAATATTTCAAGTATTGATTTAAAATTTATTTGTTAATTTTCTTGATAAAATTTTACCATAAAAAATAGCATTATCATATTAATTGGAGTAATTGCATCTACTACATTCCATATTATAATAAGTGTTTATAAATGAAGTTAAAAAAATTTAATTGATTCTCCAATTGATTCAAGTACCAATATGGAAATATTAATTATCTCGAAAAAATAATTAACATGAATTCCAAACATAAAATTGCCAAAAGAAAAAAAAAATTGCAAATATTTTCGAATTTTTATTTACCTCCATCGTAGTCGTTTCTGATTGGTATAAAAGCCTCGCAGATTCCTGCATTTTTAATTTTATTCAAAGGTTCTTGATTCTATCAGTTCTATCAAATATGTGAGAAGAATTTTCAAGCTGGAAATGTATCATTTAGTCAGCTAATAAATTAATAAGAAATTCGTTTAAAAAACAATTTAGCTCAAATTTATTTCACATGGCGGTAACTTTCAGCGATGGCGATGTCTGTGATATTCAAAAAAGGTTACTATGAAGTGAAAAAGAGGAAGAAAGGAAAGATATAGGGAGGAGCAAGCTAAAGAACCAAACGGGGAAGTCTGGCCCGGAGAAGGCGGAGGGAATGTTGACGATGATGAATGATCTACTGAATCTCAGTGGGTCCTTATGCTTTTGAAGGCCGCCATGCTAAGATAAGAGAAAACAACGATACGTACAAACCTCACGTGAATGGTCAGAATATACTTTTTTCTATGATTAATCTTATTTCTCAATTTTAAAAATGTACGTCACTAGAGAATCCAGCTTAATTAGAATAAGAGGTAGAGAAGAGCTCTATCGGGTTGATAAAAGGAAAAGAAGAAAAAAAATTCCAAATTTGATTTCAATTAAAACAATGTTTTTAAACATAACGTGTTCTTAAGATAAAAGTCAAGTGATTTATTTCCTTCAGTTTGATTTCAGTGTCTAAAAATGCTTTGATATTACTTAACTGGCGGCGATAGAAAGTAGGAAAATGGATTGAGGAAAAGATAAAAAATTGAGGGTTAATGAAAAATGTGAGAATTCGAAAAATAAGATATAAAAAAGTCTGACACAAAAGAACTATTAATGAGGTTTTTTAATACTATAGAGTAAAAATTATTTCTCTAAATATAACATCAAACAGTAATCCATTTAATCATAATCAACAATTTTCTAACATTTGAGGAAAAAAATTCTGAATAATTTCTAATAGTGATACTAACCAATTTATTTGTGCAAATTAAATGTTCTCCAAATGGTGCATTGAAATAGATAAGCCAAGGAACAAATAATAGGTTTATTGAACGTTATTGGTAATTGCTATTATTACTGCAATTGTGCAAAATACTCTAGGACACTAGGTAATATTTCAAATTATTATCCTAAGCTCATTGGTGCTTTCGTTGAATATAACTTTTGGACCACTTCACCTGCTGCATTTACTTTCAACATTAGTTCAGGTCCACTAGAAAAGGTGATGTTCACTATGACTGATCCTGGAAATGTACCATCTGGTATTTTATATTGTGGGAATTTCCATTGTTTTACTTCTAGGAATTTATGCTGAAATAACATAACTCTATTATTAGGATGATTCTCTAGAAATAAATTGTTGGGTTCATGATTGAAGGGAGTTCAATTACTTACTGGACCAAAAGGACACTGTTGAGGGAATCCAGGTTGTGGAAATCCACACTGTTTCACATCATCTCCAAATAGTTTTTCATTAAAAGAGTCACATAACAGCATTTCATGTTGGGGAAAAGATTCACCAGCATATGTAACATTGGTCCTGATCTAAAATAATTTTTCAATTATCAAGTTGGCGAATTATTATTTAATTAATAGTTACAAATTTGATCATACAACTGTATCTGCTGGGAATTCTTTGTAGACTTCTGTACTCAATGTGACATATTGTTCATCATGAGTATAAATAGATAGCAGTTTCATCCACTCATTTGGTGGTGTAGCATCTTCAATGGAGTGTAGAACAAATTTTTCATTCTCCTAAAAAATAAATATCACTGGTTACTTATTATTTTCTTACCTATTTTAAATATAAGTTAATCTTGTTTACCCCTGCCAATATGTTGTTGATGCAGAAAAAAATCAAATTAGTAAATAGAATATTGAATATTTGATATTTAGTCATGATGATGCCGAAGTTAGGACTTTTATTATTGTATCATTCAGAGCTCTTTATAAAGCAGCTGAAATTGGAGTGATAATCATTTATTTACATAATTTTGATCAAACTAATGATTGGCCATGTTGGCAGTTGAGAAATAATTATTACATTGATTATAATGATAATAAATGGATTATAATATATTAGTAACATATTTATATTCAATAAATTCTCTTGTTAAAAACAATCCACTTCCCGGTATCTCCAATTTCAGATAATTAACTTTGATTGTTTATAATATTTATCATTCGTTTCCTCTTTTTTATAATCCAATAATAATTCCACAGAATTACCGGAAAAGCTGTCGTTGTTACCGAGATAATCATCGATATGGAGAGCATTGTTAATGTTATCATGCTCTAATTATCATTTTTTAAATGACAATAAAATATTCTAGATATTACATAATTTTTATAATTATTTTTTCTGAAAAATGTTTGAATAATTTTTATTATTTTCTAGTCAATAAACTCCAACAATGCATCATAAAATTATTGACAGAAAAAAGTAAATTCTTAATAAAGTTTTTCTACATCACGAAAAGATGAATAGTGTCACAAAAAATTTTTTATTCTCACAATTCGTACTCTTTTACATGTTAAACTGTAATCCCCGTTATTCATTCGCCTGATGTCAAAGTTTTTAGTTGACCGTCCATGATTCCTCATCGATTACATGCATACATGTATATATAATATATACATATAAACACAAAGATGAAAGTTATCCTACGGGTTCAGAAACCGAGGCCTTCCAATCACGTGTTTCTCTTTTTAGTTGGTCTGCTCTTTCATTTTTTTTCTCACTTTCTGCTCGGGTGGCTGAACAAGAAAGAATAAAATTAATGGGGTCGCGGTATCTAATCGAGGAGCGCTTCAAGGTTAGGCCTAGAAGTGGCCAAGGAAAGCTTAGTTTAATTGGGTTGCGAGTGGTGGCTCTCAGGCGCGCTTTATTAGCTTGATTACAACATCCGGCTAGCTGTTAATCTGAAAACTCCTAGATATCCTAGGGCAAAGAAGTGTAAAAGACCTAACTGGTCTAGTAGACCTAGTTGAAGCTGGGATGAAAGGGAAGCAGTCCCGACATCAACTACGGCAGCAGCAGTAGTCTGTAGTGTGCTAGTGAGACTAGCCTATAATAAGCAAATGGTCGTGTACGTTCTGTTCGGTTCCGTTTCATTCCTACATGCTGTGCCAGTGAAGGCAGACCCATAAATCTCTCGGCATACTCGGAGGGACATTTGATCCTTGCGTAACCCAACGTCGTTAATTTATTGCTTCGCGTTTAAAGTCACCTCAGTATGTGAAAAGGCGATCACAAGACGCAAGTAAAGCTTGTGTAGTGAAATTTTAGCCAGCATCCAAGAGAGATGAATGTATCATAAAATTTGCTTTTCCTTTTTCCACTTCATTCACACGTTTTGTCATTGCTCATCGTGATATAGCAGCTGATTAGACCATGATTCATGTGCCTTTTCGTCCATTACTTTCTAGCTTATTATATACCTTGGACAATTAAACATTCCCAAATTTCGTTTAACTCTTTGTAATTTTGCCAGTTTGCTGGTATATGGTCATGGGTGGTCTTTTAATTAGAACAGCTGAGTCTCATAAGGAACTGTAAGAATAGATTGAGTCTATACATAGGCTATCTAGGAATATACTCTGACTATTATTATCATCATGGTCCATTTGTTGGAATCCTTTTCTAGCTAATTATGATATTTTTACACTAATGAATTTAATTAATGTCTTGTCTATTATCTACTGATAAACAAAAAAGATTAGTTTAGTTGCATGATGAATAGCATCAATCTTTTATTTAGATTTTCGTCCACATTCTTGAATACCTCAATAAAATTTACTGTCAAAAATTTATTTTTAAAATCACTTTTTTTTCAACATTAAAAATTCATTGGTTTTTATTTATTACTTTTACAAAATAATTTGTGTTTCTTTAGCTATGATACATTTTATTGTTGATTGTTGCTGTAAAGTTGGCTAGTTCTCCATCATGCAATCTTATAATATTTACATTCAAAAACGTTATAAACATCCACATAAAATAAAATACTATATCATTGTCAGTTCAAAAAAATATTGAAAAATTTAAACGATGTGAAGGGTATTCCAACGAGCTTGGTCGTGGCATTTCGACAGCCGCTATATCCTGTTCGCCCAGTCACCATCGCTGCACAACCTCCGCAACCGCGTGCACACATATTAATAGGCCCTGTACTGGTAAATGCAGAAAGTCGACTGCCTCTTTAATTAACCCCGCGTGCTTTGCTAAACCAAGAGATGAGAAGAAAGAAAAAGAGATCAAAAGAGAAAGGGGGACCCTACCTACCATGAGTGTCAGGGTGCCAGAAGCAAGTTGCATTATGAAACACTGTTGAATACAACCCTTTATTTGCTTTCTTTGATTATATTCAACAGTCACTTATTTTTATTGTTAATGTTATACAAGTTCTCTCGCATGGAAGTTGAACATGGATTCTTTCTATTGAAGTAATACAATATATCTGCAACAAAAAACCTCTAAAATTTTTAATTAACCATGAAACCCAGTACCAGGGTGTTAATATTCAAATATTAAATCATTTCAAGTTAAAAAAAAGTTTAAAAAACCTAATTAAAATAAAGGAGTATTTGGTCATCAACTTTCTGATAAGAATGATTTGATTTTGAATATTTTTATTTTGGAGTAGAAATTATTTATTCATTTTTAATGTTAAATAATTTGAATAAGATGTGAAAGAGATTCAAATTCAGAAATGGTTTGAATTAGTACTGGATTATTATTTTAGCCAAACATTTAAATACAATGGAAAATAATTGTAATATTTAAGTATGGAAGTTGAGGCTTGAAAAATAATATGAAGCTGCAACAGCAACCTTGGACATCCTTCAAAATTCTACGAAATAATCTTTCGAAATAGTAATAATGTGTCTATATACGCATTTATTATTTAGCAGACTTGTACCTGTGATTTTTTTCCAATTTTGTTGAGTAGAAACTCATCCAAGAGCGCGCTAGAAATTGGTATGCTGTTAATTTGAAAGCGTAGCCTGAGGAAGAGAACAGGAAGAGAGGTTCCCATCGGTCTGCGTTCCTTTCTCGCTCCATTTTTCGTTATCTCTGTGTCTTTTCAATCTACTCTCTTCCTTCATATCTCGGGCTATCTTTCTCTAGATTTTGTATCTCCAAAGAATTATCTTTCTCCTTCTTCCTTTCTTTTGCTCTCTTCTTTCACGAGAACCGCCATCCGTCTTCATCGGCCGACAGCGCAACGGGCGGCGTTTGCCTCGAATGCACATCGAGAAGTTTTCTTCTCTTCTGTTTTTTCTCAATCTCGTCCTTTCTCTCTCACCCTTTTACTCTGATGTTCTTCCACTGCACCAACATTTCGTCGTTTTTTGTTATATTCTGCTTCAAAACATTTCTTCTTTTCTCATACTCGTGGCAAATACGCCAACCCTTTTAGATTATAGCTAAAGAAATTCAGTGACTAATCTTTTTCACCTTGTATTTTCTGGAAGGCGACTTTTTTGACTTATTTTAAACGTGTTTTCTGTAAAGCAAAATTAATGGGCTTGTATCCAGATTTTTTGATTGGTTGGACAACTTTTATTTCCGTCTTTATGAGTACAAAAATATATATCTAATCCTCATTTAAATACAAAATACATAACTCAATAAAAATGGAGCAAAAAAGTATTGAGAAATATTTTAACTTATATTTTTCTAATAAATAATTTTTTTTAATTGCTTGATAAAAGATATTTTCTAAGATCTAGTAAAATAAAACATTATATTCACATGCACATGTGATGAAGATGAATCATAGTCTTTTTTATGATGATGTAATATTAAGATAAATAATAACAAATCTACCGTTAATTATAATTTATAAATAAACGAGTCATCATCAAGTAGATTACATGAGTAATGGATTGAAAAAAACTGATTAGATTTATTACAATTTGTTGCAGAGAGGAAACGGGGTCGGCAGACGTATACACGCTACCAGACTCTGGAGTTGGAGAAGGAGTTCCACTTCAACAGATACCTGACAAGACGACGACGCATCGAGATCGCACATGCTCTATGTTTAACAGAGCGGCAAATAAAAATTTGGTTTCAAAACAGGCGGATGAAGTGGAAAAAGGAAAACAAGACGAAGGGTGAGCCAGGCTCAGGTGACGGCGACACCGACATTTCGCCTCAGACCTCACCGCAGGGTTGAGAGCCTGAAAGAAGAGTCGAGGTCTTCCAAAGAGCTTCTCATCTCTCAGGGTCCCGCGAACCTTGTCTCCAACACTACCTCCAATAATCCCTTCCCGAGACTCAGTTGATAACCTACTCTCTTTCCCTCTCTATTTCTTTCTCTCTTTTTAAAAACAAGAAAAAAAAGGAAAACACACAAACCACCCCGATCTCCTCTCTTATGACTTGCAAATGACCCCCTCAGTAATGACGCTTATCTTGTCGTGTTAATCAAGTTGCTCGTACCAAAAAGATGACAAAGAGAAAGAGTATGAAGTGCAGTGGCTGAGAGGCGGCAGATAAAGGAGCAGTCCGGCTATCAAAATTACGGAAGTCGTTGAATAAAGTCACGGGAATGCGCAATTATTTAAAAAAAAGAAAGAAAAAAAATGAAAAATGAATGAAATACGATGAGAATAAACAAAGGTATGATGTTTTAATGAATCTGGATCACATGCTAACCGGAACCGCGTTAACCTCTATTATGTTTAATTGTATGTAATTTATGAAAGCCTCCTTAGAGATATACAAATATATGTAACTTCATAATAAGGCGAAAATTCGAAGGATGCTGTGAAGCAAATGTAATATTGGAATGTTTGAAAGAATGATGATATTATTGCTAGTGTGAGATTATAATAATATTATTATAAATATATAAATATATATATTGTGTGATGTGAGAATTTATGAGAGAATGTAAGTATTAGTGTGTTCTACAAAGGATAAAACCTGCGTTCAAGATTTAGGATGCGTTTCATTATTTATTCTCGTACGTCGTACATATAATTATGTAATGCGCACGTACTCGTTTGCTCGTGTAGATAATCTATTAGCGATAGATGGACGTTATGATATTTTAAAAAATCATTTAGATAGTGTCTCTTATACAACCGCGACAACCCAGCGAGGGTAAACAGATTTGTAATTCGTGCCAATTTATTATCTCGACGCCTTTTTTACCATGTAGCAGGTGCGAGGAAAAGATGGGAAATAACAACCTGCATCCAAGTTATGGCTTTATTTTCAATGATAAACCAGTGAAATTTCAGATCTTTATTTCAGTGCGCGGTTTTTTTTTTATAGTCAAATATTACCATTTGTGAATGATCAGTGGTCAATTTTTACTATCGTGATTTATTTATTCTAGTTTTTTTTTTGTTAATTTGAAACCAGTGAATATTTTTGTTATAAAAAAAAAAAGTGTTTTTAATTATGTTGGGGAATACTCAAGTGCTTTAATCACGTGGATTCATCGATGAAACTACTTCACATTCATTTATGGATTGATCGATTTCATCCACAAGGTCAGTACTCAAAATATTGACTGATTCCATTTCTAAACTATTTTTAAATTAATTTCTCATCTTTTTTAATTTAAACATGGGATGTTGATGATAAAAAAATAAATATAAATTTATTTTAAATTCAATTTTTAAACAATTAATATTGTTTGATGGGGAAATAAGCATTTGTTTTTAACTTAAAAGAAAATTTTATTAAAAGTAGATGGAGAAAATAATATAAAGTAAACAAACTCATTGAAAATATTAAAATATGAAGGATTATTTCCCATCTAAAAAAAAATTTACCCCTGTTTTGTGGACGCGCGGCCAAGTTACCAGTGACGTAATATGTAGTTTTGATAAGAGAAATACCGGTGCGAATATAAAACATCACTAAAAAAAATATCGCCAAGTCCAAAATATGAATGAATAATTTTTGTATATATTAATAAAGAATTTAAACCAAAATTAAATCACTTGGATTTTTGGTTTTGTTTTGTTAACTTGCTAATTAAAATTATATCCCGGCGAAGTTTTAATTATAAATTAATTGGTCACTTCTAAATATTGTCAAACAATTGAAGTTCATTAATTATTTTTAATGATGAACGTTGTTATTTTTCACTACACATTCTGAAGCCATATACATGTAACCGTCCTTCAAAAATATAAAAAGTACAGTATTATTTTTTTCTTTTGGCGCCCACTAATATAACAGTTCGCAATAAATCAAATTTTTTTTCATTTTCGTCCATAAAACTGTTTTATTTGATGGTCCAAGATGTTTAGTGAATCACCAGACTAGAAAAAAAGTGCCGGGTATTTTCCATCAAAGCGTCAGAATTTATTTCCGGAGAATAGGAAAGGAATTAGGAATAAAAAGAGGAAAAATAATTTTTTAAAAAGAAATTAATATAATGAAAGAATAATTATTATTTACATTCTGATATTTTCTTTAAAAAATACTCTCTTTAGCAGCACTTGAATTTTAAATTAAGAAAACAAAATGGAATATTTATTATTCGAAAATATTTGTAATTTATCAAAAAAAATTAAATTTCTGTAAAAATTATTTTTTTTCTCAATTATTAAGTAAAATTCATTATTTCTTGTAAAAAGTTTTGTAGTGTTCTGAAATGTTAAATCAGAGTCGCGTTGCGGTATGAGTTATGTGCTGTGTTGTAAATTTAGTTGATTATGTTTTATTATTAATAATGAATCACGATAACGATATACGTAATAAAAATATAATGATAAAAGCAAAATAATCTAACAAAACAAAAGCAAACAATGGAAAAGCAAAATTTAAATAACTCTTGAAAAGTTTAAAAAATAAGAAAAAAAAATAATTGATGTTATCAAAATTATAAAACATTCAGATTACGATTACATCATTTTACTTCTACTATGTAAAGAAGTTTGTAGATCTGATATACGTAAAACGTGGTCGATCTCGATTATCGAGAGTCTAACCAGCCTTTCATACGGAATATAAATAATATAAATAAATATATGAACATATATATATATATTTATGAACATTGATATATTGTGAGTAAAATTAACATTTCGATCAAACACAATGATAATAAAGAAAAAGTTAAAACCCCTCTTATTGCAACAATCATGACACGTTATTGTGCAATTAAAGGAACTCGTCGTGTATTTTATAGTTTAATGTGTTTTTAATACTTTTTTAATTCCGTGCAATTTTATGCAATTTTTGTTTGCATACAATGCCTAATAATCTCTTCTAATTCATTCAAAACTCGACCTTTGATTAAGTTTATGTACAGATAGATTAATATATAAATATGTATTTCATATAAATTTTTCATAAACCGAGAGTAGCAATGATTAGAAAATATTTATCATATTAGCAAATTTGAAATGTATATTGCATATATATTTTTCTCTTTAATAGAATTTTAAATATTTATTAAATATTTAAAATTCCTGACGACGAGTTCCAAGATGGTTTTAATCCTTGCGCAGATGTGTGTTGATAAGATTTTGTATTTGAACTGTAAAAAAATTTTTAAAACGCAGTGGATAAAATATTCATTCATGCATTTCGTCCATAATAATTGGAGAAAGTATATTGGAAAATCGTTTTTAGAGTTAATCTTTGATGCATGAATATAATGATGTGTATATTTTATATTTCATCGTACTTTATGATATGGTTAAATAAAAAAAAAAATATTGGTAACTTAATAATACTAAATTTGTACTAAAAAGTGTGACAAACTATAAATATATATCCATAGTATTATTGTATGTTAAGTGAACAATTGATTCATAAAATTCATTTATTTAATATGCATTTAAAAAAAAATAATTCAAATTTATAAATAAATTTTTAAAGTATCTTTAAAAGTAACTGACATTATTTAAAAAATGTTTTATTATAAACGTACTAACTTTTCGTACTTATTTAAAAAATAGTTATTTAAAGAATGAATATAAAAAATAAGTGGATTTGCTGAATTCTCTTGTTCTTGGAATTTTTACGATTGGTAGAAAGTTTTTTTAGAATTTAGGAATGAACGTGTCGGTTGCAATGAGTGGGGATAATCAAATTAATACGAGAGAGAAAAAAACGCTTGATTCTCCGGAACCTGTTGTTTTTTTTTATTATTTTCTCTTCAATCCCATCATTATAGGACGCGGTGAAATGCTGGGAAGAGAAAAAAGACATACACAAGATATAGAGTTGACCTTTTAAGAATTTTTCAGAGATGTACATAATTTAATAATTCATTGAATATATAATCTGTGCACGCTGAAATCGTGAAGTAAATGATCAGAGAATATTACGATCAGAATTAAATAATTATTAATACTGGTATCGTAATATTTATTTAGCTACGTAGTATTTATTATTATGATGTTATAGTTTAAAGTAAATTTTTTAGTTTGACCGAATGTCTAATAAATATTTTTTACACGTGAAAAAAATGCGTACTTATAAAACAAAAAAAAGAGTTCAAAGTGCAAAAATATTTTCTTCCATATATATATTTTTTTTTGTTTTTTTTTTCACACATAGTTTTGTTTTTATGCTCATTTTATGGTGTATAAAAGTCAACACTTTAAATGATTTACCAAGATCAATAAACCTAAAAGATGTATATAATACATCAAATATGACGAGCCAAATGTTGTTTTTAATTTTTTTTTATTACTTATTTTGTTCAATACTTCCTTCTGATTCTGTCTCTATCATTGATTTCACGGTTGAAAAAATTCTATATAATTTTTTTACTTTCCGTATAATCACTGATGAATCCCTTGATCTCCCTCCTTTGTTTATGGTGTATGATACTGAAGTAATAGAAAAATATATTAACTGTCTTATCCTTAAAAGAAAAAAAAAATTAAAATAAGTGTTAGCATTTTTTAAATTTTTTATCTAAGAAATTACAATTGTCTTTAGCAAATAAATATTGCAGATTCATCAAGATACTGCTCATTTATTTTGACAATTTAATCTAGTCAAATTATGATAATTGTTGAGTCTAGATATATTTCCATATTTTTTTTTTTATATTATCACTATTATTATTTGTATCATTATTTTTATTATTATTATTGAAAATCAATTTCATAACAATTATTTAAGATACAGGTTATCCACTGAACGTTATTTGAATGCGAAGGGCTCCATCCTATAAAGACTGAATTTCAGTAAGTTTATTTTGAAAAAAAGATCAAGTAGTAACAATGTAATATAGCGATTTATATTAAATAAGCAGAGAGTGCACATTACTAATAAAACAGTTTACAATGAAAATAGCTGATAAAAAAACTTTGAAAAAAAATTTTCAACGATCACTTACTTGTGTAAAAATATTAATGAAGATTTTACATAATTTTTACAAAAATGTTTACCTTCTCAAAAATCATGAGAAAAAAATTTATAAATCTTCTAAAGAATCTTTATAAACAAAAAAAAAAATCGTTGATAAGATTTTTTTGTTTTTTAAAAATAATCTTAAACTATTAACAAGGGTTTTTAAAGAGAAAATTATTGTTATAATTATTATGTAAAGTCTTTAGAAAATATTTTTATATCAGTAAACAACCAAATTTATCATTTATACAGCGTAAAAAACCCACTTAGTTTGTCATAAGTAGAATGTAGAAACAAGTAAACCGATTCAAATCTTGACACCACATTCCTTTTATCATCCTTTCTTTTCTGTCGGCAATATGATAAGAGCGACTTCTGACGTTGCTACATCGAAATCGCGAGCCGCGCTTCTGTATACGATACCGAGTAGGTATAATAGGTACCTGTATAATAGAAATAATTTTTACAAAACAATGTTAGAAGTATATTCTGTAATTTAAATACAATGTATTTCAATGACAAATAATGATTTGGATATAAAGTGTAACTACTGACAAATAAACAAATAATTAAAAGAAAAAAAAACAACCATTTAATAAAATATAAGTACTTGGCTTAATTTGACTGTAACATTGTAAAACATCATATATAACATCAATTAATTCATTATTTCTATATTTATCAATCTGAACTGACTTCTGAAAAATTTAATTATTATTTTTTAATCGATAATTATCAGTGAAATAACTAGCCATTAAATTTACACGTGAAGTTGAACTTATTAATTGTAGTAATTAATTTAATTATTAATAACAATGTAATGCTATATAAAAATAATCATTATTATGCTCGTTATTACATTGAGACGAATTAAATAAAAAAATACATGTATAATAGGTTTGATATACATGTGTGCAATCAAAATAAGACAAGTAAGATAAAATATAAAAGAAAATAAAATACTGTAAAAAAATAGACAGAACTTGATATCGAAAAAGTAGATCTCACTTTACTTACTGAGCAAAACGGATACAAGGAAAAAGATATATATATATATAAATAGGATATATAATAAAAGTATATATGTATATAGGTGTGTGCACACAAAGTCGAAGTTTATATGCATATATACATTATATATCAATATAATAAAAATAAAATAATACGATTACGATTGCAAGTAAACGTGTATAATTATTTTGTAGTGTCTCAAAAGTTATGAAAATTAAATGTATACATCAGAGTATGTCGATCGATAGTTATTATTATAATTATGATTATTATTATGATTATTACCAGTACATTGCTATAAGT